CTCCTGTTTGATCAAATAGTTATTGGCTAACTTATACAGCATGGTTTACAGCTCTGTATAAATTTTTGGGATAGTGTTCTAACATATGCTCCTTTGATTCTTTTCTTTTTCTTTTAATCACAAACAACATAATTAGGCTGAATGAATCGAAGTTCGATCTTTTGAAGTTCCTACTGTTTATAATCTTGGTTGAAAGTGCAGTATCTTCTGAGGTTGTTTTCTTAAGAGTGGCTAAGAACATGCTCCATTTGGTCAAATTTTTCTGTCCATGGATGAACATATTTTGAGTAAATTTCATATGAATCAACATGTTTTGACTAGTAATGGAATATCTCTCGGGGGGTTCTGTAACTTATGATCACATATGCAGGGTTGTTTTGGATTCTAGGAGATCTCTTGTTCTGTTGTTTCTCGGTTAGGGATTTTCTTATTGGTGTTTGTTATTGTTTAAACTAATGTATCAACTCCTCTCCTTTTGCAGTTTTGTCATGGCTTCATATGCCGATTTCCTTTGGGATGCTGAAGAAGAAGAAGAAGAAGAAGATGATGAAGAAAATCAAGGGGTTAAACATGAAACCGAGCGCAGCCACACATCTTCGTCCAATTTCTTCCACGGAGCTCCTCACCATTCTCCCTTAACTGCGGCCTCTTAGACAACTCTCTGTCTTCTAAGATAAATAACATATATTAGCTGGGACTTTTGTTACATAGTTGAAATAACACAATAGCTTATATATATATATGATTGCTACCTTCTGTTTCTTATTCCATACATATATATATATATATATATATTATGTTGTGGTGGTCATGTTCCTGAGTTTTTCTCTCTTTTAACATGCTCTGTTCCAATAAGGGAAGACTAGGCAGACTCTTCGGACCTCCTTCTGTATCATTGAAATAAAGGTTTATGTGATTAGAGAAAAGATAAGGTCTATGCATAATCTGTAAGCCCCTGTGAAATATTTCTTCTATGCTAATCCCTCTGATTTATTACTAATCTGCTCTATATGTTTAAAAGAAAAAAGAACAACCTCTTTTCTTTTTGGGGAGAAAGACTTCCATGAAACCGGAATAGTAAAATAGTGCTCTATATGTTTAAAAGAAAAAGGAACAACCCCTTTTCTTTTGAGGAAGAAAGACTTCCGTGAAACAGGAATAGCATTATTTTACCATCTCCGTTGCAACTAAGTTTTTTTCTCTTTTTTGGGGGCTTCTCATTTGTCTTTTCATCCTTCTCCTTGAGCAGACTGGAACTCAATTGAAAACCAAGTGGTATTTACTCTTGTTTGGTAGGTTTACAATATTACATTAATTTTATTGGAAGTAAGAACATGTGGAAGAACTGCTTTTGTAATTTTGCACAGAAAAAAAAAATGATCATCATATGAGGACAACAAAAATATCCGGTCATCCTTCTCAGTGCTCATGATGTGCGAGTAATCTTTCTGATATGTTTTCAATACTTGAGCTGTTGGATTTTGACTAAATGGAACTCTGATCATCTCTTCACCTCAAAATAATAATAGAAATGGAAAAGATGGAAAGGGAAAAAAATAGAAGAAAAGATGTGGAGGGAGACTAAGACCTAATAAAATATCAAAGGCATAAGTATTGTGAGCACCAAAATAAAATCTATTTCTCTTTCTGCGGGTTTCCAGATACATTCTTTTGTTTTTCATATATTATGTTAAGTGGGTCTCTCTTGATAAATACAGCTTTGTCTTTCTTCTGTTGGTGATTATTAGCTGTTGTCATTCCTCCTCATTGGTTGATTTATTTCTTATTGCATTTATAGTCTCTCTTTTTGATGTGATATCTACCAATTATTGGGTATGGAGGCACACAGACACAGATGAATAAAGTCATCATTTAGCTATACTACATTTGGTGGTTGCACGGTCAGGAAAAGTTTGGACCTTTTTCTATCTTGCATTCTACACTAACTCTCTCTCTCTCTCTCTCTCTCTCTCTCTCTCTCTCTCAACACTTTGGCCCATTATTCGGTTGGCCATTTTTTCTTGTCTCCACATGGGAAATATCTACTATGTGTTATGGTGCGTTTGAATGAGGGAAATAAACTTGGAATTTTGACAAAACTCAGAATTTCTAAATTGACATGAATCAATTCCCGTGTTTGGATAAAAAAACATAGAAATTTAGAAATTCTGCGTGAGAAAAAAACATGAAATTTGGAGATCATAAATCCCAACTTTAAATTCTATCTAAAAGTCGTCATTTATAAAATCCCAAGAGATATTGAGTTTTAAAAAAAGATAACTTTACAAATAAATGTTAAATTCTGTGTTTTAAATCCGTCACCCAAACAAGAAACTTTACAAATTCTAGAATATTAATTTTCGTCATTTTAAATTCTGTCATTTATGAAATCCTTCGTATTTTTAAATTTCCTTATCCAAATGCACTGTTGGAGTTTGTATAGGCAAAATACACTTGCCTTGTTGATTTAATTAACAATTTTTTTTTTATTAATTAGAAATTCGTTTTTAAGATAAAATCATTATCTGAAATTCAAATATGTTAAGCAGTTAATGTAACTACTGGATGAAGAGGTGTCAGACCTCTATATATTGAAAATTCATCCAAACTAGAAAAAACAATTTTTGAACAGCATTATCATTCTCACACATAAGCACTTTATGAGAGAAATCATATTATTGTTCGCTAGAAATCAAAGGAACAGTGCTTAGGCTTTGATTTTTGATAGTTTAATTCTGGTGGACAGACTCCTATCGAACTACAGGCACAAGGGTAGAGGAACAGTGCTTAGGCTTTGATTTGTGATAGTTTAATTCTGGTGGGCAGACTCCTATCGAACTACAAGCACAAGGGTAGAGGAGAAAATACTGCAACTTTGCAAGACTCTATCATCAATGCAAGTCAGTGTTTTGTAAATTTATTCTCCTGTTGTATTGATTTGATTATATATATATATACATATAACATATTCCGATTTGTTATTATTCTGTTATTTGGTTTTATACTGATTGTTCTCCAACACTGTGGGTAAAAAGATAAGAAAAAACCTTTGCAAAGAATATGATATGTTTAGATTTTCCCTCTACTTCTTATATCTCTTAGATTGAATTTTAGTGAGGTGGCGTGTGCAGGAGAAAAAACAAGTAAATTCTAGTAGATAAAATTCAAGAAGAGGATCTCCATTCGGAATCCCCGAGTCTCTGCATTTAAAATTGATATATTTACCCGCATTTAATAAAATTTGGACCATTCAACTAATCTAATGATTATAGCTACGCCACATCAGCTATAATAGACTTGTTTCCTTTTGAAAAAACTGACGTTGTTAGTTCCTTTGACAAAAGGGAGGAAAAAAAAAAAAAAAAATCCGTCCATCTCTATCGTCCGTTCAGCCTACTGCTCTCTTGCTTCTTTCTCTCACCCTTTGTAACCTGATCTTTCTTCTTTGTTTTTTTTTCTTTTGGCTTCTTCTTCTACTTTAATGTGTCATGTGTTCAATACCAAGTCGCGGTGTGATGAATTGTTAAAAGATGAGAGAAGGAAGGAAGATAAGTCAAAAGAGTTGACAGAGGAGAGGTAAAGAGCAGTTCAAGGAGAGGACGATAAAAGTAACACCGTCAGTTTTAGGAAAAAAGAAAAAAAAAAGAAAAAAGGAAACAATTTACTGTAGTTGATGTGGCATACTCACAAACATTGAATTGTTAAATGGTCTAGATTTTATAAAATGCGGATAAATGCGCTATCTCTAAATGCAGAGGCTCGATATCCCTTTTATAACATCTACTAATTTCATTATTGATTAGATATCTAATAAATATGGAAGTTATATATTCTACGTCTACAGTAGATGTTATCAATAAATGAACCATTGAATCATTGAATGGTGGTTGGTGCCTCTTGTGGGTAAAGAAGTAAAAAAACTACATGGTGAACATCAAGGCAAACAGGTTTATGAATCAGGAAAGTCCTGAACAATTTTTTTAGGTCCAAAAAAGTCTTGAACTTAAACCTATGCCCTGGAGATTTTTGATTTATTTTCAGAATACTAGGTTATTACGAATATGACCTTAACCTCAGTGGTGCTCTGCAGTCTTTGGTTGTTTTGATTATCAGGATGCTTCTTCATGATGAAATTTTTGCCATTTTGTGGCCTAAGAAATTCTTTAGATTATCACAAATATCATTACCGTGCAACAATTTGCTAGATTATCACAAAGATCCAACAATTTGCTTGATGACAACCGATAAGTTTGCGAGCAGGGTTGAATCCCTATGACATATTGACATTGTATGTATGAAACCCTTATCTCTCTTCCTAATTTTGGCGCACATTACCAAAAAAAGAAAAAAGAAAAGAAAAGACAACTGATTCGTTTCAAAATGTTGCATAGTTTTTTAACTCCATAATATATTTAAAGAGTATAGCCGCGCGGCTATACTATACCCTTTACATATTCTGAATTTTGTCAAAATCCCTCGTCTCTTTTCCAGTTTTTCCTGGATTAGGAACTTATATGGGCCTCTTTGCCGTGTTCTCCATAAAGTTTGACTCTTGGATGTTTAGGGTATCTAAAATGAGGCAGCATTGGTACTTATTATGTTGCCATTTTTTATTATAAAGAAAAAGAGTTTGAATTCTGCTGCAATATCCTTGATCCCAAACTATGCAGATCTTCATAATCAACCTTATTATATAAGCAACACCTCTCTGTGAAATGTGTGGCAAGACTGATAAACAGGCATTCGATTAGTTGATAGTTTCAGTTTTGTGTTGATTTTGGATCTTTGGGACAAAGAAACCCCAATGTTTTTCTAGCTTAGAATCTGTGGAGGCCAGATCAAGCATACAAGGATCACTCCTTCGGAGATGTGAATGAACCAGCTTGAAGAAGCATTAAAATATCACTTAGGAGCTGCTATAGGATCAAAACTACTAGCCATAGCATGTAACGAAGAGTCATGTTTTTGAGATTCATACAAAAACCATAACAAAACCAGATGTCATGAAACTTCAAAATTAAAAACTTGATGAGCAGCTATATAAAGGCCTTAACTGTCAATAATACATAAGCTTTTTTTTTTGTCAATCAATAATGCTTAAGCTGACACACTACCTTTCATCCTGGAAAGCTTAAAACCCCTTACATACATCACCAGTCATAAAATTTTCTTCTATCATCTTGGCCCTGAAAGCCGAATGTCTGACATGAGTATATCACTGTTGTAATTACTGAGTCCTGATGATGAAGTAGCATCTTTGCTGCTCCATTGTAAGAAACTAAAATGAGGGCCTGACACAGAGGGGGATATCGGCGGTGGGGGTAAAGTACAAAGACCTTCAAGCATTTGGACAACTTTAGTCATTGGGGGTCTTAGTTGCATCTCATCTTGAATACACCATAATGCAACTTTAATTGCACTTAAAACTCTTTCATCATTTTCATCGACATCTAGATTTGGATCAAGGAACTGTTTCATATTTCCCTCTTCCAACAGCTTAAAGGCATAAGAAGGAAAGTGGCCTTTCGCGGAACTGTCCCCTGGATCAAAATTCCTCTTTCCACCAATGATCTCAAGCAAGACCATCCCATAACTGTATACATCACTCTTCTCGGATATGGCATAATTGGTGATCCATTCTGGTGCAAGGTACCCTCTAGTGCCCCTCAGCGTCGTATGTACACCGCTCTCCTCCCGGTTCATTAGCTTGGACAAACCAAAATCTGAAACTTTGGCAACAAAATTGTCATCAAGAAGAACATTTTCAGGTTTTATATCACAATGGACAATCTTTTCTTCACACTCTTCATGGAGATAAGCCAACCCCTTTGCTGTCCCCAAGGCAATACTGAATCTTGTATTCCAATCTAACGATTCATCCTTTTTGTTGTTCTTGTTCATGAATATCCATTTATCTAAAGACCCTTTACCCATGTACTCATAAACAAGAAGTCTGTGAGGCCCTTCTGCACAGAAACCTCTGAGCTTGACCAGATGGACATGACGAATTTTCCCAATAATAGTGACTTCAGCTCTAAACTCTTTCTTCCCCTGGCCAACGCCCTCCAATTTTTTCACAGCCAGTTGGATGCCATCCGGAAGCACACCTAGGTAGACTGAACCAAACCCTCCTTGGCCAATTTTGTTGGAGAAATTTTTAGTTGCTCTGCTAAGATCGCCGTAAGTGAAGCGAATAGGCATTCCAGAAAGACTGTCCAAGAACTTATCCTCTTCCAAGATTTCTTGGGAATATTCCAATAGTCTCATCCTGCGGTAGTACCAGAATCCTACATAAACTAGACCAACAATAACCAAGATTGTTGCAACCGAAATGACCATGAGTAACAAAATGCGCTTGCTTTTATTTCCCTGGCCTTCCTTTACAGGGCTTAATCCATCCCTCAAGGACTTCATAAAAGAGATGTATCCAGTAGAGTTTGCAGCGGAGCGTTCAAAACTCCCTACCCGGTCAAACAGAAAACAATGTCCAGAACTGTTTTCGAAGAACAGCACAAGGCAAGAACAATCACCAAGGCAAGCTTCTTTGCAGGAACTCAGATTGGATTTCAGAGAGGGTGTGCTAAAACCAAGTGCAAAGTAATCAAGCTTCTCACCAACGTATAAGAGCTCTACTGAACTTTTGGAGGTATTACAGGTTGGGAGTGCTTGAGGTTTGCAATTAAAGCGTGAGGTGAGAAGTGAAGGGCATTGGCACCAATTCTCAAAATAGCACACATAGTAGGGGTCACAAGGCTCAGGAGTGCTGCATGAACTTTGTGGGATCTTAGTTGCTTCAGCAGCAACAGACTTTCCCTTTTGAAAATTATAGAACGATATTATACCATCAGATCCTAAAACAGCAGCCCAGAAGGCATTTGGATCCTTATTGTCAGAGAAGACAAATTGCCAAAGTAAGAATCCATTTGCACCATAGAAATTCCATGAATTGGACACCAGAGACAAAGAATGAATCTTGCCACTGACATTGTTATTGGTTTTCCTGCTGTCATCTGCCATGGACCAATAGATTTGTGGAATTTGATATCCTGCATATAAGACCAGCTCCCCTGACTGAATTTCGAGATAATGAGACACGTTATTGCGATTGCGAAAACTTTTGAGCTTCATTCCTTCTGAGAACTCCTGGCCAGGTAAAAGAGTGTCAGTAGGATGGCTAAAACTCTGCCAAAGAATGCTTCCTTTGTCACCAAGCAATACCAAGTTTCCTGAATCCTGCAACTGCATGGCTGAAACTACTTCTCCTGTTGTGTTTGTAGACCAAACCAAATCGTTACTGCTTCTCAAGTAGGCGTTCCCATTTTTGTCAAAGGCAAACTTATCAGAATTTGAAATTAGTGAGCCTCTATTAGCAGTCCAGACCACTTTAGAAGTGCCCAAGTGAATGACTACTAGTAAATACAACTTGACATCAAGGGCTTGGTAGAATCCTAAGGCGAAAGCCGTGTTGTTGGATAGCAGGAACAGCCCCCCATTATCACTCCAATCCATCTGAGATGCCTGGAACCCAGGATAAATCCGATCTTTATGTTGTTGGCCGGCTATGCAGGTTTTGAACACAAGGAGGAGGAGACATAAACACAAGGTTCTCAATTGGAACAAAGCCATAATTAACTTCACCAATTCCCTGGACTTGCCTAAACTGGGTCCAGAAATATTGTTCTTTACCACAATTTCAGGGCTTGGGGTAAATTAATGTGAAAAACCATATTAAAACAAGGGAAAAACAGAGACCCTGGAAATTTCTGTGTGTTTAGCTGTATGGCTATGGCTAAGATTGAACTGCTGGGAACTGATACACCTAACACCAAAAAAAGAAAAGAAAAAAAAACGCAAAGAAAGATCAACTTTAAGTTGAAAAATGATTCAACCTATAAAAGGTATGAACATAAAGTAGTCCAATTTCATAAAGTTCAGTCAGATGGAGTGAAACAGCAAACGAGGAAGAAAAATTTTCTACCACAAACTATATCTTATGCATGTAAAGGAAAAGCAAATACAGCAACAAAATTCACAACAAGCAAACTACAAAAGTAAGAGAATCATTGTTGATAATTGATGGGGTTCTTTGCTGACAGTGTGAAAGTCTATAACCAGGCAAAACACAGCAGAAAAGAATATGACTGACCACATTTCTTGGTAGCAGAAACGAATGGATTTGCAGATGCGGGTTCTTGGTGGGAATATTGATCGAATCTATGTGCTTCTCCCGGTTTGCAAGAGAGTGAGTGAAGGAGAGAGAGAGGAAATGGCAGGGCAGATTGTAATATAATTATGTTTTTGCTGTGTGTACACAATTTGTCCACAACTCTCATGCTCTGCTTTTTCTCCTTTTCATTGTTTTTCAAAGTAAAAAGTATAAATTGCACGTGTTCAACCGTCTTTGTAAATTGTAGGTGTGAACATTAATGCAATGGTTGTGACTCGTTGAAAAAAGTTGTCCTTGCATTGGTGTCCTAAGACCATCTCCAATCATGTTGAGGCTAAACTCAAATTTTCACCTTTTAAAATACAACTATTCATGTATTTTTAGGACTCAAATTGTTTTTTCCTCCAACCTTGTAGACTCATAATTTGAGTCTACTACTTTATCTAAATTGTTTAAAAATAGTTAGCATTCAATTTGTTTTTGCCATTAATTTTTCTTGATATTAATTTTATTTCAACATTCGTGATTTAATTTTCTAAACATGTTAACCTAAAAAAATCCAAAATTCAAAACAAATTTTTTTTTTTACTCCAAACAGAGCAACTTTAAGTTGCAAGTTTAATAAATAAAAAAATGAAAGAAACAATAACTACAAATGGTGAGCTGCCACTTGTCATGCAAAAGCAAAGGGAGAGCTGCAACTTTCTTTCGCGCAGGGCCCACAACATTTTCCCTCTTCATATGGGCTGTGCAACATGAGTTGGGGTCCACAAAAAATTTCCAGTCCAGGCAAAACCCAGACTGGAATTCCGCCCAAAATTCCACCCATCTCAAATTTCCACCCCTTAAAATATATGGGTTGGAGATGAATTTTGGACTCAAAACACAAAATTTGAGTTTTCACCCATTGGGTTGGAGATGGTCTAATGGTCTGTGTGGTTTTTGTATACTTTCCCATCATTTTCTTTATTTATTATTTTTTTCATCTCTAATGTTATTGAGGTTAATTGGGTAGTTGCTCTCTAGACATCATGCTGAGAATGGAGACGCATTGAGAAAATTTCATTTCTACTAATTTTTTTTATAAAAGGTTTAATTTAATGACAATTTTTCGACGAGTCACGTTATTTATTGACATAATCGATTATTTAGGGTGCAAGATTTTGCGTTATCTTATACTTAAAACATAAAATTTTAAGTGAGTCACATTAATAAATAAAAAGAAAATGTTCTTGACACGTCCATCGTTTAATAAAGGTTGGGTAACATTTTTAGTTTTTGTTTTTGTTTTCATGTAAAATTTCAGTGCTGTTATTTTATTCATTTATTTTTTTAATGGAAAGTGTTGTTCTTTTATTAAAAGAATGACAATAATTTTTTTTTTATTTTTAAAAAAAGACTTTTCACAAATAGGCCCATTCTAACATGACATATTATACAAAAATTCTTATAAAGCTTATTTGGACAGATTTACCCAAAACTAAGAGTTTTTATCAAAACTAGCCAAAATTTACCCTATATTTTCATAAATATTAGTTTTTATAAAAACTTCAAAAAATAGCCAAAAACTAAAACCCACATAAACCTAAAAAGCAAAAAAGTGTTTGGGAGGTTAACTCAAAATTAGAGATGATACTGTTCAAACCAAAAAAAAATTAGAGATGATACTCCAGAATATTTTTTTTTCGCCAAATAAAAAAGAGATATGGTGATATCAAATTTACGTCATGTGCGACATGCTGGTCCAACATGGTCTCAATTGCACTCAACCAACTCGCTCGAGAAACAAACGCTGCCCCCCAAATAAGCCAACTTTTTGTTTTGATCCTCAAACTTCAAAGATGCCCATGAAAACTACAACTTTATTATTGGCTTACCAAGAAGCAGATGACAAAGTTCGGAGTACAACATACAAAATGACAAGATCATGCTATGGATTTGGTCCGGTTGAAAGACAAACAGGTTGTAAACCTTCAAAATCCTCACATCATACACTGGTTCAAATTGTCCTGCGTCCCAAGTAATATTAAGGTCTTCTCGTTGGGTGTAGCTTTTTTTTTCTTTTTCTTACAGTGTAACAGTGGAAGTATATCCACTAGCAATTAGGATTGTCAATACATATCACTACTCATAAATGACATCCCACATACATTTGTTTTAAAAAAGCAGTAAATCTAAATAGCTCAACCTCTCTGTCATAATCCTTAGACCTTTGGTGCTCGCCATGGCTGCAAAATTCAATGGTTTCGAGCTTAGGTTTTTTCCTTGTTGGGTGTAACTTTGCTTCTTAGGTTTTATGTGGGTTTTTAGTTTTGAGGGTATTTTAGTTTATTTAACTGAGTTTTCTGCTATTTTTGAAAGTTTTTATAAAAACTGACATTTGTAGGGGCTTTTTTTCTTCCGGCAGCTACTATGGGCCTGACTGCCGTAAAGGGCAAAATGGAAGAAATTGCCCCTTGAGCCTGAGTTCGAAAATTAAGCCCCAAAATACCTCGAAAAGGCAGTAGAGCCTTAAGAAGTATTTCGGTTATCTTCACCAACGAGAATAATGGTAACTTGCAGATAGTTTTGGCATGCTTACAGATAGTCTTTTCAGCTCAGCATGAGTGGCATGTGGCATGAGAGCAAAATCAACATGGGTTTAGCACTAAGAGAGAAATTAGGCTTGGTTTATGAGAAAAGAAAGTGTTTAAGTAAGGAATGAGGTGTTTTGTGAGGAATTCGACTAGGGAAAGAGGAAAAAGAAAGGCAGAGTTCTTCTGGCAGCTGCCAGAAAAACAAATTGGAGAAGAAGATGAACAGTGCACGAGTCTGAGTTTTGCAAGATAGAGAGAAAAGCTTGCTCTCTGCAGGTTGTGAGTTGTTTTTGTTGGGTAGGGGAAAGCTCAATTTATAGCTGCCGGAAATCACCAATTTTCAAGAAACCCTAATGGCTTCTACTTACTTTGGCTAAGCTTTTCTTCCTTTCTCCTCCCCTTCTCTGACTTCCCTTTCTTGGCAAAGATTGCTTCTGTCTATTTTCATGAATTCAGGGGATT